GTGGGGGGGAAGAAACGGCGACCGGGCACTGCTGTAGAAGCGAGTAGGGCGGCCGAGGCAGCACTTGTGGCGAAGTATGTACCCGGCTGATGCTGTTGCGCCCTGTTTCCCTCCCTGCTGTATGCTATGCTCCTTTATGTATGTCCTTTGTATTGCCTTCGACCTCTGTGCTGTGTTTCTGTGTTTCTTTTTTTCATGACCTCCCTGCCTACTCTGCTGTGTTGGGTACCGTGATCTCGCTTTGCTGTTGCCTTTGTTTTTGTACGTCTGGCTGTCTGCCCATCTGCCGCCTCTTTGTCCTGTTTTCTCCGTTACTCCCATGCCCTGGTGCGTAGCGCCTGGTGCTGGTACACAGGAAGCGTCCTCCTTTATTTTTGTTTTTGTTTAATTTTGATCGGTTTGCGAGGGCTCTTTTCTCGAACGGTCGGTGAGATACCTGTTGTTTTCTTTCTATCATTTTGTTTTCTTGTTCCGAGTGGTTTGTACCCTATTTTTGTTTTGTTTCCTCGCGGCGTCGTATGTGCCGGGTTTTGAGACCACGGGCTCCCCATTTTTTGTGGACTATAGGGCTAAGGTGAGAAACAGCAACAACAACAACCACACACCACCAAAACTGGAACCGCGACATGGCCATACATCCTATAGACTATCCACCCTCGCCGCACGACACGTGTCCATGCATATTCATACGTACATACATACGATGATGGCCAATTGGCCAGCGGGTGTGCGCTGAAGACATGGCCGTGCTGTAACGGCCCCAAGCAGTAGTCCATGTCCACAGCTTGAAAGAAGTTCGGGACGATCCACGATCCATGATCCGACGACGGCGGGTAAGTTTTACTCCGCGTTCATCCGCGATCCGGGGCGATCTTTCATTCCACTGTGCACCAACATGGCATCCACCTCACCGCAAGCCCAACCTACGTGTCTGGTGTGTGGTCACTTGTCTGACGACATGCCAGTGTGGTGGCGGTCTCAAACAACATGCCCTCAGCGACAGCAACAGCAGAGATAGAGGGGTGGACGGAACCACAGATCGGGTGGATCTAACGGGAAAACGTCTTATTCTAGACTACTTACAGCCGTCCAGCGACCTCGCTGACCACCTGCGGACCATGGCGCAGACGGACATAGCATACCAAGGCATGTTTCACACGACGGGACCGTTTGGTCATACTCATGCTCGGGCACACCACAGTCTGGGTGATTGCTGCACGCCATGGTACATTGTATTGTAAGGTCGAACACCGCTGGCATGACCGGCAGTCAACCGCAATCGGTGGTCCCGCAGTCAACTACAATCGGTGGCCCCAATCGATGGTCCCGCACAGCACGCTGGCCAGTTTCATCGTGTTGGCGCAGACCAAATTGGTGAGTTCTGAGCGATAGGGTATATACAAACAAGGTGAGCACCGTGGGTAAGAAGAGCAAACCCTGGGATTGTTTGGCTGGCACACAGTGTTTCAGTCTCACAGATTTATCTGCCTCTTCCAGCGGTGGTCGTTATTGATTGGGAGTTTGGCTGGCACAAAAGTGTTGCAGTCTCACAGCGTGTCTGTCTCTCATTCTTTCCCCAAACTCAAACAACAAAAACTCGGGGGGGTAACAACCCCCCCACCACACCACACACCACCACACACCACCACACCACCAAAACTGGAACCGCGACATTGCCATATATCCTATAGACCAGACTATCCACCCTCGCCGCACGACACGTGTCCATGCATATACATACATACATACATACGATGATGGCCAATTGGCCAGCGGGTGTGCGCTAAAGACATGTCCGTGCTGTAACGGCCCCAAGCAGTAGTCCATGTCCACAGCTTGAAAGAAGTTCGGGACGATCCACGATCCATGATCCGACGACGGCGGGTAAGTTTTACTCCGCGTTCATCCGCGATCCGGGGCGATCTTTCATTCCACTGTGCACCAATATGGCATCCACCTCACCGCAAGCCCAACCTACGTGTCTGGTGTGTGGTCACTTGTCTGACGACATGCCAGTGTGGTGGCGGTCTCAAACAACATGCCCTCAGCGACGGCTGTTCGTGGGTCTGCGAACATTGGCGTTGGATATATATGTGTTGGATGATTTTGTGTCACGCAGACTGGTAGCATTACTGTTTCGTAGGGGGCTCCGCGATGATTCACGGGGCCCCTCCTTGCTGTGGGAGCCACTCTTTGAGCACTCCCTCTCTCGTCCGTGTGAAGGACGGTCGTCGACTTCTCGTGTCTCACCCGATAAATAAGTGGCGTAGGCCGCAAACTCTCTACAGTTTGCCCCTCGAGGGAAGCCACATCGGGATGAGTTCTGCTGGAGACGAAGCGCGCGCTGCTGCGAGCGGAGAACGGATCCGCCCGCCGGTGCAGGAGGGCCGCGACGCGGAGCTCGCAAGTTTGCAACGGCAGATTTCAGTCGGTCAAGAAGAAGGAGCCTGGTAGCGTCGTGGTGGATGCAGCCAGGAGGGGTGGCTGGGTTGCTGCACCCAAAGCCAACGGGAAGAGCCCACGCTGCCGCTCGGCGGTGGCGGGGGATTTCTCCAGCAGCAAACGAGAGATAGTGGGCAAGGACCACGGCCGCTGCTGGAAGGCGGCTGGGCCAGCAGATCGGGAGCGAACCCTGTTGGACCAGCCGGAGTGGGCCCGGGCATAGGACCGGACTACGGGGAGGCGAGGGGGTTAAAACCCCCAGGTGAGATACCCGTTATTCGAGGAAATGGAGAATTCCTCGACGGCTACAGCAGTCGTCACATGAAGAGGGTGACAGTCAATGCCCCGCTTCTAGACGGAGAAAGCCGTAGCCACGGATTCGACTCGTGGCGCAAATCGTTCATCCAAGCTGCGAAGACCATCGACTTGGACGGGCAG